TGTTTTTATTCTGATTTGTTCTGTTCATGCATCCTCTGTATGTTCCCACACCACGCAGCAGAGAACTATACATAGGTTGTAACTAGTGAGAGCCATAGAGAAATACGGGGAGACTTGGAGAGAGCTACAGAAAGGTAGAGGTAGGTAACTAGGGAGGAAGGGGAGGGAAGGAGGGAGAGAATGAGTCATAGCTCATCCCACAGGACTGAGTGGGTAGGCTGAGTGGAGGAGGATGACGTCAGCAGCAAGCCTGACAACTAAAGAAGACACATTAAAAGAGGGAAAAAAAGGGAGAGAGAGACAGAGAGTTAACACTTCGAAGTGGGTGGATGGAGAGAGAGATATTGATGTGGAGGGGGTGGAAAGCAGGAAGGGGTATCCTCACTGAGACAGAGAAAGAGAGGGGGTGGCAAGGATAAGGACATAGAGAGACATAGAGAGACATAGATGGAAAAAGAGAAACCCTGTCTTCCGCTTCATTTGACCATTCATGTCCTCTTCATCTGTGTTTGGTTTTCCTTTCGTCATCAGGTTTCCTGCCTGTGCTCTGAGCTATGGAGTCATCTCAATCATTTTTATGGCTCATACCATAAAATATGCACAGCATTCTGGAGTGTATTTGTGTGCACTGGACATTGATGCATGTATACATATGTAAACTACTGAGGCAGTTTTATGCATGAATGTGCCTGCACTGTTCCCCTACAGTCTCCTTTTGTGAGATTGTGCAATCGACGCAAAGGGGAATCCTCTCTGACACAGACAAACACTGGTACCTACATACTGCAAGCGCTGCTGATCTATAATATGTGGAGCTACTGAGCTTGCACAAACTGTACCATTACTACTCACGTCAGCCCCTGCTCTGCGAAGACGCATCCTTGCTGCCTTTTGTGAAATGGGTTCTCTCTGACGTCAAATGGGCAAGGTGCGTGGCTGAATACAGAGGAGCTGAATTGGGTCGAGCTGCCTGTGCATGTCTCCCCCGTTGCTGTCTGTGGGTTTGTACGTACCCTCACTCCGGTTTGCACAGTTGTGTGCTTCCATTCACCTTCATCTTTCATTCAGGCAGTGCAGAGAAAATGGAGAGACAGATCTGCTACGCATGCTTCTCCATAATAAAATTTGATATGCTTGTATGAATGAAATAAAGTAATAGTAGCAGCCTTCAATCATTACCCACACAGTGTTCATTCTGTTTGCTTGCATTGTCGCTGACAATGACGAGAAATAACCGGGTAGGAAAGAACAAATGAGCGTTTGAATGCAATAAGAACTCCTTCGTCCATCTGCATTGTATCTTTGTTGTAACCTTTTTTTAATGTAGGAGCTGCATGCCATCATGACAACTCACTGTTTAACTGTGTTCTACTCTTGTGTGCATACCTTACTGCAATTATATTTTAATCTCAATGATCAATGATAATTATTTAATTGTGCTATAAAATCTTGAAAATATAATTTAAACATTTTTAAAAGTCCATTGCCAGTTCTGTATATGTTTTCTGTTTGCTCGAAGGGTTGTCACCATTTAATTACTGCATGATAGTCAAATGCTGCAGATCCTCACAATGAAAGATGGAAAGGAAATTATATGTTGTGAATTTTTACCTTTACCAAGGACGTTCTTTTTTCATCCTTGTCTCTTTGTTTGTTGGTTGGTTTGTATGTTTGAAAGCAGGATTCCAAAAAACTGATTTCAATGAAATTTGAGGGTTGGGGCATGACCCAAGGAAGAAGCTATTAAATTGTGGTGCAGTTCTGGATCAGTTGGTGGTTCCAGGGTTGTTTTTTTAACTCTCCTTATTATTGAAAAGTTGTGAAACTTGATTTCTCGGATTGTGCGCCATTTGGTGCAGATCTGAATAAAATTTCAGATCAAGTGAATTGTTTTCAATGAAGGAACTGTTGGGCTTCGGCAGCAGTATGCCCTACTGAATGCTAGTCTAGTAATTTTAAGGAAATTACTATATATCAAACTATGGCTTTCGGCAGTTAATGAGACATTAGTTACTTGATAACTTGATAAGTTAGTATGACGCAATAGCACAAAACAGATCTTTATCAGAATTGTTAAAACATTTTGGATCATTTTGTGGAAGGACAAATCAAACTATGGCGTGCTCCCATAGTCTTGGTAATTAATGGGAAACAGTGCTTGATATACACAAGCTCTCTGCTCTCACCACTTACCATGCAGTAGAATTCTTGTCATTTCTCTGGCTTGCTCCACGGCTAACTATTGCTGGGACCTTGACCCAGCTTGACCAGGCAGCTAATTTTGACAGTGATCTCATACCTGAATGAAATATTTAGTCCAGCTCCCCTACTATCTGAAGTGGTTGTATATATATTCTCCGTGTCTTAACACAAACACACACATGACCAGACGGATAACTCTTTCACTCTCTGGCCCATTCACACATACACACGGTCCCGCTCAGGGTTCCCTTCCATTGGCAGTCTTTGGTGTGGTAACCTGACACAGAGGGCAGTGCAGCGTATGACCTGTGTGTCTCAGCTGGTTGCCTGTCATCAGGAGGGTCAATGTAGTCTGCAAGGCCAGTAATGTGTGTGAAATGGGTCAGGGTGCCCTGCACAGCATTACGGCAGCTGATGGGGATGATGTTGATCTTGTGGCCCATCTTTGTGCTTGTGAAATATCTGTTGTGAAACCCTTTTCCCCCTGACATGAATCAAAACACCAACGTATATATATTTATAGTCCTAATTGTGTTTGTGTGTAAATAGATAAGACAGATGCATGCTCATTTTTGGAGACAGACAACACAATTCATGTCGTAAAGAGTTTTTGCTCCCACAAAAAAATACTCCTGAAATTAGCATTCTGTAGTATGTAGGACAAGATGTTAATGTGTTGTGGTAACATGTTTGAAAAATTCCAATTAGTGCTTTTGGGATTATTCTTCTACAGCCGCAGATGTATTTGATTTTAAGTACACATTCATGTGCGTGTAATGGCTGCCTCGTGTATCCTGAGTCAATTTGATAGCTTCTGCTGTGCAAGTCCTTATCACAGCTGTACTGTCCACGAGCATGTGGTTAAAAACCAAGTTTATCTCCAGCCTAAAACATTAGGCTGTGTTAAACCAACTTGTCAATTTGGTTTTATAACCACTTTTGCTATGATTTAACTGGCTTCAGTCCACAGAGAATCACATTCCCTGCATGTCTGCAGCCACGTGTGTTGATGTAGACAGTTGGCAGAGAGAAGTCAACATCAGGCCCACCAACACAGTGACTGAACTGGGACACACCAGGCACAGATCAGTGCTGCTGCTGCTACTGGTGGTGTTGTAGTTGTTGAGTCAGCAATGTGTAGCCTGTATTTTGACACATTGTCAATCAAAAGCTGGATGGGCCCTTAGAGACTTTGGATGTGTTTTTTAGGTCAGTCCTAACGCCAGAACTTACATAAAATAATTATATAATATTCTATTTTAATGTGTTAAAGGGGGTGTATATTTGTATTATTTGACTAATGATAGGAAGTCAACAGGATTCATTGTCAAGGGTTTGAAGAGGCTTCATTACTCATTTGAGATGATTTCTCAGTTCAGCTGGTCTAATTGGACTTTGTACCACTTGATATCCTAACACCTGGATGACTGAGAACCCACATTGTTGTTTGCACCACAGGCTATGATTGCTTGAAAGTAGAAGAAATAGCAGATAATTTTTGTTTTTATCTTGCCCTCCTCTCTCTGCTTCTGTTTTCCATCCGTTGCAGTATGTGCACAGTGCAATATCTCTCTTCTCACTGCCCTTCTCTCTGGTACTTGCTCAACACAAATGGCAGCAGTTGGGAATGACGTTACCATCTCCTTGGCAACCCTGTGGGTCTGTGTGTGGAGGGGGGAGTGTTTTTATACCTCAGTGGGGGACTTCAACCTGAATAGACACTAACCCACTCGACACAGGGACAGAAATTGAGGCCCAAGCAGGTAGAGACGTTTTTTTGCGGTTAAGACTTTGCTTTAGAGTTGGTCATGGACATTATTCTGCTCAAACATGAGAATGGCACTTGAGATGAACGGCTATTTTTGCTCTACAATCCAAATCCATTCATCCTTTTTTTCCAAGAAAACACATTGAATATGTGTGAGCAAGAAAAATAGAGATTATTTTGAAGTGACTGAATCGGACATTTTGTGTCTGCCCACAGTAGATAGTGTGGCTATGCGCTCTGCTGCTGTATGGTAGGCCTGCATTAGAGTGGGGGTTGGGGCATGTGGGTGTCCTGGTCAGTGATGTGGTGTAATGCTGCTGATGACGCTTTGCTGCTGCATTGCCTGGGTCTTCCCCACAGTGGGAATCCCTGCCTCATTTGTTCAGTCATCTCTTATCTATCCCGCAGCACGACACACCACACCACAGCAGAGCACTGCTGCACAGGCGGGGACATGCATGAATGGCTCTCATCCAAGCTGCATGCATTCATACTGACAATCATGCTTCTGATGCCTAAATGTATGCACATTTACTTTTCATCTAGATATGACATGCACTTATACTTGTATATGGGATTTAATGCATACTATTCATCCCACTGTTTATACTAGGTAATATAGGATTATAGGATTATCAGACCCATGGATTGTTGTTTATCTGTGTTGGCTGTTTCTGTATGTGAATGGCTATAGTGCCTAAGACCCAAGAGTTGCTGCTTTGTTGGCAGAATTCAAGGGGTTTAATGATGTCATTCAGAAGAATTTAAGAAAAGAAAGAATACATAGTGATGATAACGTGCATTTAAAAAATTGAAGAGGTCAAATAACAAGCAATGTAGCAATTGGGGAGGTTAAACCTGATCCATTGTGCTGATTTGCAAACACTGTGTTCCAGTGGGCTCTGAGCTTTCAGCTGTTTGCCCCCTCCCTGCCAGAATGAGCAGCAGTGGCAGCAGCAGCAGCGATGAGTCACTCAGTGTGTGAAACATGACGTCATCCGTGTCTTCCTCTTTTGCTTATGGTGTCCAGGGCTCCTGACAGGAGGACAGACCATGCTGCTGCACTGAGCCAGAGGGAGAGAAAAGAGAGAGGCCTCTGAGGACTGCTGACGTGGTGGCTGGCCTGTTTTTGTGCCCCTCCCCCTTATCTGACTGCTGTCTTTTCAGTTCACCCTATTGCTGTGAATATTGATGCTTTTTTCACATGTGCATGCTGTTTTTCCTGTAATATCCTGTACAACTAAATATTTTTCTTTTGGAGAAAGTTTGTCTCCACATTAGTAAAATTTTATGTACTGAAACCACTTACGCTGTAGAGATTTGGCTGTACAGCTCGTTCTGAAAATAAGAATAGAGTAACACCTCTCACTGGTTACAAACTAAGATGTTTATAATTTCTGATTTTAAAACTACAATGTAGATGTAAATGTCAAACTTTGCTTTGACAAATTTCCCCCGATTTAGGGGATTATTTTAACGTACTGTAATGAGCAATAATGTATTTAAATTTGTCATTTTTAAATAAAAAGGTTTAACATGAGCATTTTCTTCTTCTGTATGTCGCTCACAGCTCCACCCCGAGGGCTAAGGCTTGCTATGGACGTTGCTTCGCCCCCTGCTGCAGCCCTACCTAGTTCCCTACCTTAGTGGGTTCCCCTCGTTTTCTTGTGTGTGGTTCCCATCCAGACTCACTGTACTGAGTCCAGCACAGATCTGGTACCACCTACAGGTAGATAATATAGTAGTACACTCTCACACATATATACTGTATGTGCTCTCTGTCTCTCTTTTTTCATTTTAAAAATGTGACAGATGTCAGGTGTGTAAACCGTTTTTCTCACCTCTTTTCTCTAAGCCACTCCTGGGTCCTCCACCCAACCCCCTCCCCTACTCCCACCCTCCCCCCTCCCCTAAGAAGATGTCGGTGAGCCTGACAACAGACATCCAGCAGGAGGGAGAGAGTGGGCCACTCATCGAGCCCTGCAGTCGAGGCAAGACCTCCCCTCAACCACAGGGCACTAAGGAGGGGACAGGGGAGGGCCTGGAGCCAGAGGATAGCTCCTCACAGGATGCACAGGTGGGAAGAACTGATGATGTAACAGTCCAAGTATTTTTTTTAGACCATGACATTGTGTCTGGTTTGATAAAACTGATTTTTTATGTATTTTTATTCAACCCACAACTATAGCTGTGTCTTTCTTATCTAAGTAATTTTTACA